TTTGTCCTAATATCTTTTTCATATTTAGGCAATTACTAGTACGTTTTTGAGTTTTGAGCGTGCATGAGATGACTATTGAACCTATTTAATTGTTTGGACAGTTTCATTTTTTCAGCATTCAACTATCACTATGAGGCGACTGAACTAAGCTCCACCATATAGATTTGGGCATCGTATAATTGTATGAAGAAAAGCACCAAAAGAATGCACTGAGCATTTTCCCTGTGAGGAATTCCTCACATAGGAAAATGCACAGTGACAATTTTTTAGGACTGAGCAATTATGAGCAGACATGCGGAGCAAAACAGTACAAGATGGCCATGATTTTACTTTGGGACATTTCAAGTTGAAACATCTCTCACCCTTCTTCAGTGACACTAAACTGCACATGGAGGAACTAGAAAAAAACAGTTGAACAGAGAGTGAAAGACACATAAGTGTCACTGTTTTTTGTTATGTAAATGATGATAAGGTAGATTATGGTAATACTAATACAACACCACAGCCAGGAACAACTGCATGTACTGGAGAGTTCTATGGGAAATCCTCCCTTCCAGTTAGTGGGGTTGTAGCTGCACCTATAGATGGCCTCCTGGAAATGTCCTGAAGTAATCACCATGATAATTTATCCAGTAGTAAAGTTTGATTCGTCTTTGAATATTGTTTACCTGGATGTCTAAGTTACCTTCGTCAGGGTTATAAAAAGATAAGCTTGACAAAATAACAAGCGTGCCAGGCGGGTCGTGCCAGGCAACCTGACGTTTCCATGTTCAAGTCTCACACAGAAAACATGACTAGAGTCTTGTTTGCAAAAGAGTGAGAGTGGGTATTTTGAACCCTAAGTTCTGTCAGGGATGAAAAATATGACTTGGTAGAAATTCATGACATTGTCTTGTTGTATGACAATCAATGTACAGTTTTATACCATTGTCCTTTTATGAAAGAAGGGAGTATATATGTGATATTTTTATGATGCTCTGAGTGCAAATAGAAATTTAACGGACTTGACCTATGAAGAATCTAGCTGGTTTGGTGGGGAAAACAACGGGAACCTGTAGGGACTTTGTTTGTTCAAGCAGCGCCGTTGTGTTAAAACTGAGGATTCCACGTCCATTGGCATTGGGTTTGGCTTGAAAAGAGCCTAAATGGATTGAAAAGGAAATAAAAGGAGGTTTTGTGTTAAACAAGGAGCTGGTTAAATTTATTTCTAACCTCCTTGTTTTGCTCAACTGCATCAGAGTATTGGTTTTGAAAATTCAAGATAATTCAAACTAGCCTGGCCCACACCTTCAGTCCTTCAGTGTTGTAAACACTGTACTCTAATAGTCTAAAAATTAAATCACGACTTCTTATTCTTTCGGCAAATCAAATGACTTTGTGTAAACCTGACTGTCCTGAACTTTTACCCTAGAATTTTATTTTGCTGAAGTGACTTTGGCCTGAGATAATTTAGCATAATCTGATAACACAACAATGTCTGAGCAAACAATAGGAACTCATTAGGACATGGAGCCAGTAATTAGCATTTCAATGAGTTACTGCAGTTCAGGTTGTGTGGAAACTGAAATCCTGGTACACCAAAAGTCTAGTACAAGTCGACTAGAACCCTTGGATAGGAAAAGAACCTAAAAATAATGAAAAGTACTCGTAAATCAAAGTTTTTTTAACAAATGCAAAATAATTGTCCAATAAAGCAGTTCAATTTTAGATCGTCTGTAAAAGATTTTTTTGAATGATGTTAGACCAAAATAACCACTAGTACCAGACTATTTATGAGAATATTTGCCAGGCTAGTTTGGCCTGGCCACCTAAGGGTTTGACTTCGGAGGGTAACTGGATTGTATCTGGATAAAAACAACCTTCTACAGACTGACTCCCCAGGCCAATCCTTTTTGCCGAAATACATATGCCACAATCCATAATCCTACAGAAAAGCCTGGTGGAGGCTGCTAAATAACAACAAATGTGTCTTATCTGAGAAATTTTACCCATATTTTAGTCAGGTATATTTGGCATATGAACTTTGCATTCAATCACCCAAACAATTAGGTGCATAAAAGACATTGGGTGCACTATGTGAAACAAGATTACTAGATGGCGTTAAAAAAACCTCACACAAAAAGCCAGGTTGGCTCCTTGGCAGTTTCTTCTGACTTTGAAAAATCACTATCGGTTTCTTCTTCAACATTGGGCTACCAGAATATCTGGGTGCACTCAGAAAAAGATTGGGTGTACAGCTCCAATTTTTGGTGCACCCTGAGTATTTTGAGCCCTGATTTGGGGTCTGCCTATTTACCGGAATACACCGGAAAACACAGTTTAACACCGGAAAACACATATAGGAGGCTAAAATCTACCGGAATACACCCTGATATGATGAGATAACATACTGAATTGCTGTATTTTGACATGAAGTAACGTGTATATCGCCGCGTGAACAAGAAATCGTTATGAATTGGCGATCGGCGATCGCGGAGGCGAGCCGACCAGTCGCCATGTTTGTTTACATTGCCGACTACAAAATGTTTGTTTAACGCGATCGCCGTACAGAAGTGAAATTTACCGAAATGAAGAGGTCTTTGATGCAGGTACCGCAAGTTGCTACATTCTGGCATGAAATAAGTCGTATATGACTTTGTTATATGACGTTGGGAACAAGAAATCGGCGGAGTCGACCCGGCCAGACGCCATGTTTGTTTACTTAGCAGCCGGCTATAACGCTAGTGAACCTTTATCCGTCACTTTTTCTCAGTGACAATCATGTGACGCCAATTTCTAAAAATGATGAACCGTTTTTCTTGTCCTATTATATGTTGACACCGTAGAGTACCTTAGTCCTTTTTGCTGAATATGTTTCGCAGTTTCTCCGATCCCGCTGATAAGAAAATCGCGTACTAAACCAAACACGGCCGATTCGCGTTTATGCAGGGTTGTTCTAGGGAGATGAACCTTTATCCGTCACGGATATACACACCACAACTTTCTCTGTATTGTTTACCTTTAGACAACATCTGTTATTTTCCGAGGTGGGCAATGAGTGCCCGAAATTCAATCCCTGTCCTACGATACAAAGAAAATACGGCAAAAGGATTGTACAGTGTTGACAACGCCCGA